GATCGTTCGGAGCATTCATGCGGGCAACAACCACTAAAATAACATCGGTTATATATATATATATATCATCCTGCAGTTATGACCAATCGTCCTGTGGCTGGGCTCCTGCAGGGTTCGTGCAGGTCTTAAGCTCTTTTAGCTGTGCTTTAGAGCTTTGGACTACGGTACTATATATATATATATAATATATATATATATATACATATATATTATATATATATATATATATATATATATATATATATTATGTATATACGGGGATGTGCTATGGGGGTTGTCTCCTGTTTATTACGAGCAGAGGTTTAGAAAATATTACATAAAAATTTTTTAAATTTCCTTTTACCAATTACATATCACTTTGCACACGTTTCCGTAACTTTTCTTTCTTTGTTTGTTTATTTTTTTTTTTTTTTCCTTTTTTTGTCTTCTTGCAATTGATCGACAGATCAGTGGGAAAGAAAAGAAAAAGAAAAGTCTTTCATATCGAAACGAAGAAATCGCGAACAACACCTCTGATCATAAACAAGAACTTACTAGGATCGTACTAGGGCTAAATTTGTTTTTAAGGATACGGAATCTAAAGGCGTTCGAGGCAGGCATGATGCGGAATTCATTCTTTTTTTGTTTCTTTTTTGTTTGCTTTCTTTTTTTTTGTTTTTTTTTTTTTTTACTTTTTTTTTGTAAATTTTTTTCTCTTTTTTCTTTTTTTCCTATGGTTTATTTTTTTCTTTTTTTTTTTTTTTTTCAAAGGAGTTGGATCATTCACAGACTTTCTTCGTCCCGTTGACTTTCAATATGCAAATATTTCAATATTTGTACGAAAATGACGAACAAAGATTGCCACGATATGAATTATTATTTATTTTATACTGTCCAATTTTATCATAACGAACGATTCCATATCGTTGCGACTATTTATTGTTTCATATCGAATACATCAAAGAATAAATGTCGGGCTTTATCGTTATGATATGCATTAACGTAGATCGTAAACCTACGAAGAAATTGTAAATAAGTTATATCATATGTAGTAATCAAGCGAGAGAAAATTTTACACGATAATAATTTGAACATTATCGATTAAGTTAAAAAAAACGATAAGGGAGAAAGTCAATAGGCGAAAAAATCCGTTCTGTGTACGTTTATAATTTATCACTTCTTTTCTTTGTTTGTTCGTTCTTTTTTTTTTTGTATATATATATTTTTGATTTTTAAATTATTATTATTATTATTATTATTATTATTATTATTATTATTATTATTATTATTATGATTACTATTATTATTATTATTATTATTATTATTATTATTATTATTATTATTATTATATTTTTTTTTTCTTTTGGAAGACAACGACCAAGCGAAATCGTCCCGGTCGCCACGTTCGTAATGTACCGCGTCAAGGTCAGAACGTCGCGCCAGCCAGCCAGCAGAATTCTAAAAAGTGGTAGTGCTTACTGTGCGGAGAGGTGGGGTGGAGTGGATGATGGGTTTTGGTCATATTTCCTGGGGCGGCCGCGGGACAGATGCCGCCGCTTTACGAACTCGGCGTCGTCCACCATCCAGAATGACCCGAAGTCGTCCTCATAGCGCACAAAACACTTGTGCAATGATAGATTGGTGCGAATCGCGTTCTGTATACACAGACAAGACCACCAAGAAATAGAGAAAAAGAGAGTAAAAAGACAAGGTTTCTGGTTTTTGTTGCTTTCTTTCGTATCTTTCTTTTCTGATTTCTTTTTCTTTTTCCTGTTCCGTATTCGTTCGCTTGTTTTTTTTTTTTTTTTTTTTTTTTTTTTTTTTTTTTTTTTTTTTTTTTTTTTTTTTGTATTATTCCTGCATTTTTCCTGGGCTTTTTTTTTCTTTTTTGTATTCTCGATATTTCGTTTCGTTTAGCATATATATATATATTATATATATCTCGGTTGCGCGCATTTCACATTCGCTTTCCCGCTTCCTCGTAATTCCCCCTAGAAAAGAGTCGCGCTGAGCAAAGAACAACAACAAGAACAACAACGAAAACAAAAATAATAATAATAATAACAACAATTAAAATCAATAACAACAACAACAACAACAACAACAACAACAACAACAACAACAACAATAACAATAACAATAACAACAACAACAACAACAACAATAATAATAAAAACAACAATTAACAACAGCTAGAAAACAACTAGGGCAGAGCGTAGACGAGACTACGTTCTCGCTCTCTACTTTAAATAATAATGTACAAACGTCTCCCTCTCTGGTAGTCGCGTAGTAGAGTAGTCGTGAGATTTCGAAGGTGACGTCGTTCGTGGTAGTTGTGAAGGGGGGTTTCAATCGGGGGTGAGACTGGGCCTGAACGTTAAAAAGAGAATGCTGGTGGTGGTGGTGGTATTGGGGGCGGGGGTTGGGCGGTCTGGGTCATCGGAACAAAGGTGCTGCGGTTACGTGATTCGCACGAACGATGGTGGAGCCTTCGTTCAGTGCCTCATCGTGAACCTTATTATTGCGACCTTTTTTACCGATATAATAATGATGAAAACAATGAAAGAAAAACGAGAGAACCAAATATGGGAGAGTACGGTGTAAAAAATAAGTGACGTAGTATATGTATATTACATAATATGCGCTTCCTCTGACTACCTGACAAAACCTGTGCGTGAGTGTTGTTTCTCACTCTGTTCTCCGGGTAACCGGGGTCCGGCTTCCGAGACTAGACTTGGGCCAGAGATCGAGTCGGTCCCGCCGTTCTCGATCGGTTAATCGCTGCAAAGCTGACATGCTTATTAAGAAGCACACACGATCTTCTACGAGAATCGTACGAGAGCATTATCGACTGATTGATTGATTGATTGATTCATTGACTGATTGATTGATTGATTGATTGATTGATAGATAGATTGATTGATTGATCGATCGATCTATCGATCGATCGATCAATCGATTATTTTTTGATAATTACATTTTTGCTATTAATTTTTATTAATTTTTCATATTTATTCTTATCACCCTCATAGGGATAAAACTTTAATTTTTGACTTTTTGCTCTCGTATCGACACGTTCATTCTTTTCTATATTTTCTTTCTTATTTTATATATATATTTTCTTTTTTTTTTCTTTTTTTTTATATATATATATTTATTTATTTATTTATTTATTTATTTATTTATTTATTTATTTATTTTTCTTTTTTCTTGTTTTTTTCAGGTTCGTTTTCTTTTATTACATTCGCGCGCACATCCACGCACCCACCAGATTGCGATATTCTCATCACTACCATCTTCGAGCAAGTAAAACGAAACTTTCCAAAACACACACGCGGTTACGAGAACACATGTGAAACGAGATCAAGAGTCTACCGAGTCGAACGCAAGACTGATCGAAATAATCTGTACGCAACACGTTCCATTTATTATACTAACGTATATATGTCACTCTACAAGGATTCAGCCTTGAGAGAGTGCTCGAAAGAAAGATCGCGATAAATAAAGAGAATAATAACAAGATAGACCCGTTCTTTTGACGAGTTGTAATGTCATTCGAAATGAGCGTTTCGAACTCAGAAAACTCATTTGTTAGCAGAGAAATACAAAGACATATACAAACACAAGCGGCGTACAGTAGAGATTTTTACGGCGTACTAGGTTTATTATACACACGGCAAAATTTCTATGTGTATAAAAATGCGCACGTAAGATAGATAGATAGATAGATAGATAAATAGATAGATAGATAGATAGATAGATAGATAAGTAAAGAGAGAAAGAAAGAGAGAGAAAGAGAGATAGAGAGAAAAATAGAGATAGACAGTTAAAGAAAGAGAAAGAAAGACAGTGAGATAGAAAAAGAGAATACACAGATGTGAAGATTATCAAGAGGAGATATATATACATATATACGCGTGTATATATATATATATATACATATATGTACGTATATATGTACGTAAATATAAAACATACTACGAGACGACTTTCAGTGTCGTTAAAGGCGATCAAAAGTACATCATACGTAAGTAAGAAAGAAAGAAAGAAAAAAAAAAAAAGAAAAAAAAGAGAGAAAAAAAAAGAAAAAAAGAAAGAGAGAGAAAAAAGAGGCACAGAAGGAGCGTGCGTGTATGTGCGTATACATACATACGAGGCTGTACGTGCGCGCGCGCGCTGAAATACGCGCGCGTGCACGCGCCTGTCGTTGCATACCTCGAATATTGATAAACAGACATTAAGAACTATATAAACGTATAAGTATATATATATATATATATATAGATAGATAGGTAGATAGATAGATAGATAGATAGATAGATAGATAGATAGATAGATAGTATATGAATATAAAACACTATAAATACAATTATATGTAGATATATATATATATAATATATAAAATAGTAATATGTAAAAATTGTAAAAAATATATATAGGTATATGTATTGTAAAAAAGACGAATATATTGATATATATATAAGATGGTAAAAAAGTTGACGGTATATATATAAAATGGTTCTTAGTAATAGGGGGGAGTATGTAGTAAGAGTAGATATAAAGCGTAGTAAGTGAGAGTACTATATATAAAAAATATATATATATATAAATATATATAGAGAAATAGGCAGAAAGACAGATAGATAGATAGATAGATAGATAGATAGATAGATAGATAGATAGATAGATAGATAGATAGATAGATAGATAGAAGGAAAGAGAGAGAAGGAGAGAAAGAGAGAAAGAGAGTAACGTATGATGTAGAATATATGTACATGTACATGTAGTTGGGAAAATGATGGTTGAAAATGTAATTGAATGGAAAGGTATATTTTTGGGGTAGGAACGATCTGGAAAAGGAATGATTTTTAGATTATTAATCAAAATACACAGGAAGAGAGAGAGAGAAAGAGAGAGAGAAAGAGAGAGAGAGAGAGAGAGATAGAGAGAGAGGGAGAGAGAGAGAGACTGACAATAGATAGATAAAGAGAAAGAAAGAGAAAGAGAGTGAGAGAGAGAGAGAAAGATAGAGAGAAAGTGAAAGGCAGAGAGTAAGAGAGAATAAATAGAAAAAATATATATATATATATACATATATACCTATGTATATACACACATATATATATATATACATATATATATATATATATATATATATATTATATATAAAAAAGAGAATTAAAAAACGCGACGTTTATCGAATAATTGGCGAGGGGTGGGGCGGGGGTAACGTACCCGGTCGTGCTGCAAGCGCGTTGAGGACGTCTCTTGTAAAACTCCACTTCGTCCACCGTCCATACAGCGCCTTTCACGTTTTCGACTCGCATGAAACATTTGTGGAGAGACAGGTTGTGTCGCACTGCGTTCTATACAAAATAATACACAGACTAAATAAGCAACGCAAAAAACGAACGAAGCCAAACTCAATCACGAGTCCGATAGAGTCGATGCTTTCGAGGGGGGTGGTACACGTTGACGAATCTTCGCCGTCGATGACGGACGATGATCCAGACACGTCGACGACGATTTTCGTTCCAATAGACGGCGAATGGATGAACGCGTGTCGCGTTATGCTCAAATGCGTCGAATAATAAAAGGCATCGCGTAGAGAAAGAGAGAAGAAGAAAAAGAAAAGAAAACAAAACAAAAAAAAAAAAAAAAAAAAAAAGAAGAAACCAAAAAAAGGAATGAGAAACAAAAACAAAAACATTTACAACGGATCGTGCGTTGTAAATCGTCCTTTTTATTTACACGGGGTTGTCACACATTTTTGGGATACGTACGACGAGGTACATCGATTGTCCTTAAAAATTTGTTCCTCGTTATTCTCAAATTTGTGCGTTTTTTTTTTTTTCAACAATTGTTACTGAATCAAAAAGGAAGAGCAAAAGAAGGGAAAAAAAAAAAGAAAAAACGAAGAAAAAACCGGGAAAAAAGAGGAAGAAGAAGAAATAGAAAAAGAAAAAAGAAAAAAAAAACAAAGAAAAATAAAGATAATCGATGTCTCTCTCGTCGTAAGAATTTCTATGATATCTATAGACGTTGAAAGCAGCAACGAACGTAAAAAGCTTTTTACTCTTTGCTCGCTCTTTTATTGCGCACGTGAATAATAATAATAATAATAATAATAATAATAATAATAATAATAATAATAATAATAATAATAATAATAATAATAATTATTATAATAATGATGATGATTTCATTCAAGGAAAAACGCGAGAAAAATCGACATGGCGATCGATCGAGCTATCTCGTGCATTTTAGAGGATTGAACGGATGAAAATAGCTCGTAAAAGTCGATTTTTTTACTCGAGCTAAACATCTACAATTTCTAGCACTACCGAACGCTCGTTTGTTCGTATGAGTTTGCGTATGTATGTTTGGGTATATATGTACGTATGTTTGTTTATGTATATAAATATATATATTTATTATATATTTATATATATAAATTATATATAAATATATATGCAGCGGCATGCACGTTAGGCAGCGTGAAGCATTTTCTGAGACTAATAATAAATACTCTATAAAGAGGGTGATTTGCGTGTGGTGACAACCCCGTTTTATAGAAGAATAAATAATAATAATTAATAATATTTATTATTGTTATAATTATAATAAATAACAATAACAATAATAATAGTAATAATAATAATAATAATAATAGTAATAATAATAATAATAGTAATAATAATAATAATAATAATAATAATAATAATAATAATAATAGTAATAATAATAATAATAATAATAATAATAATAAAAGAAAAAGGAATCGTTCGTGTCCGTACGCGTTTTATTTTTCTATTTAAAATATTTCGAGCCAGGCGAAAGGAATCCATCGAAAATAAAAGTGATCGGATTAGATGTAGTGATTGTGTATGTGATACGTGAACGGTGCGACGATAAAAATGATAATGTTAACATGATAATGAGGTGTATAGGAATGTTATTAAAAAAAGAAAAGAAAAAAAAAAAAGAAAAAAAAAAGAAAAGAAAGAAACAAAAAAACGTGAAAAAGGAAACGAAACAAAAATTAGGCTTCGCGAGATAATAGATTGGAAAGAAGAGGGATTAAGATATAAAAACGAAAAAAAAAAAAAAAACAAAAAAAGAAAACAAAAAAGAAAACGAAGAAAAAAAACAAAAAAAAGAAAAAAGAAGAACAAAAACAAAAAGAAAGAGAAATCATACACAACGAAAAATAGTATATGGTGATTATTAGTCGAAAAAGAGACACGGCATTCCTTTGATCGTCAATGCACAGCTAGTAATCTAAATCTAAAGGGATTCAAAGGTGAAAAGAAAATATAAGGATAGTCAACGACAACAATCATTCATGCCGCAGGGCCGAACAAAATTTGAAGGATATTTTCGTGATTCGCCTTTTTCAATCACGATGATCATTGCCAGCATTTATCTGTATGTATCTGCATCCGTCGACTGTACAGCTGCTACCTGCTGCTGCTGCTTCTTCTTGTCTGAAAAACTGCTACACTGCTATATGCATATACTATTTTAGATCTTTCAATATATGTCGCGCTCTTTGTTAATATTTTTTTTTTGTTTCTTTTTGTTTTTGTTTCTTTTTTTGTTTTTTTTTTGTTTTTGTTTTTTTTCCCCTATTTATTTTCTACTTTCTTTTCTCTCCTTTCCTTTCCTTCTTCTTCTTCTTTTTTTCTTCTTTTTCCTTTTCTATTTTTTTTTCTTTTTTCTTTTTGCTTATATATATATATATATATATATATATATATATATAAATAATTTTTTTTTTCAATTGTTATGGCTTTATTCGCCGTGTACACATAACCATGCGAGGCGAAAAGCGTCATGGCAAACGTCGATGGGTTAGTATCACGCTCACTCTAACACGCAGAAGCATACGTGCGCGCGCGCACACTCGATTCATCCAAAAACAGGTGGATATTTACGCGATTATTACGATTTCGAGGAATTTCAAGAATCGTAAGTTTTAAATGATTGAAATTTGAACGAGTGGAAATAATTAAATGAAAAAAAAAAAAAAAAAAAAAAAAAAAAAAAAAGAAAAAGGGAAAAAATGCAGAATCGTAATGAGTCGTAGTATTCCACTTGTTATCGTTACCAGCGCGTCCGCTCGGCACGTCGCTTTTAACCTGTCGATTAAAATATGTGTGTGTATATATATATATACACACATATTATGAAAGCTCGTCCCTTTTTAAGATAAGAGTGCATTCAATTGAATTATTTTTTTCGATTATGTATAAAATGCATAATGATTGTTCGCTGCGCATCCAACGTCGAATCCTTTTCCTTGGGGAGAGAAATTCTATTATTTCTAATATCGCGTGTGTATATATATATATATATCTTATGATTAAATAGATATAAATATCATGAAATGAAAACTCTTTTTTTGAATCGTCCTTTTAATATACATCAATATTATCAACTACTTCGAAGCTCGAGCTATTGCAATTAAAAAGAAAAAAGAAAATATATATATATATATATATATATATATATATATGTATGTATATATATATATTTATACATTTTATCAAAAATGGTATCGTCAAATAAGCATTTTAAAGCGTAAAGATTTTATGCAAATTTTTGGATTTTGAACAAAATTCACCAGCTGTGCTGAATCTCTATAAAACGTTCCCTTGTAACAGAAGTTTTCAAATCATGTTATACATTCCCGAGATCGATCTCGCTTCTTTCATTCTTCCCTCGATTCGTTTCTTTTTATCCTGTCGTCTTTTTCTTTTTCCCCCTCCCCTTCTTTTTCTTTTCCTTTTTTCTTATTTTCTTTTTATTTTCGTCTTTTCTTTTTTCTTCCCCCTCCCCCCCGCCCTCCCTGCCCTCCCCTTTTGCTATCCGCGATCCCTCACCCAGATCTTTCGATCATTTCCCTCGATTATACTATGAAAAATATAAGATATACCTTCCACGTTGCTGCATTTCGCCGGAAGTAGCAGAATGTGTTTTGGAACCAGTTATAAATTTCGTTGAGCGTCAGTTGTTTATCTGGCGATTCGATGATGGACTAAAGGAAAAGAGGAATCGTTCGTGATAAATATCATGTCATTATGGTCTCGATAATAAATTAATTAATTTAATTATTATATAATTGGAACTACCTTGGGTACACTCGCATATTCAGACGATTCTCAGCGTTAGAAATAAGGTTTTTAAATCGTCATTAAACGGGCGACACCGTCCCGATAGAAATTCGTGCTCGGAAATGACACTCGTTAATCATTCTGACATCTCTTACAGTAAAATTGCTAGTACACGTTAGATCGTGACGAGTTTAATACGATTTAACGAGAATAAAAATTCACGATAGAAAGGTGTTGGGGCGCTGGGAGGGGGGTGGGGAGGGAAGGAGGGGAGACGGGGGAGGGGTATATAAAGATCAATGAAGAAATAATTCTATGTACATTATTGATCGCGATAACTCACCTGTCGAATTAGGGATGCGTACGTGAACGGTGGTCTGACGTCGGCATTTTTGTAGAATTCCCTATTTCGTTGAATTTCTGAAAGTAGAATTAAGATTTAATACCAGGGTAATTCGATCGATCGATTATATGAAAGGGAAGAAAATTTTTGGCGTGTGTCACGTGGAAATGAGCAAATGCGTTTAATGTGTGCAAGAGACTAATGGATCTAAGATACTACGAATTTAAATCATGATTTTATCTCGGGGTTATTGTTCCACTTAAAAATATCGTCGGATAATCAATAGCTCGTTAATTATTCGAATTAATCTATCGAAGACGTGAAACAATGTTTAAGGGTAATTATCGTTTATCACATGCCGAAATAAAATTTTCTCACGTTGTAAGTCAACGCGTATAAAGATGAATCACGTTTTCGATTTATGAATAAAAACGATACTTATTTTTTTTTTTTTTTTTTTTTTTTAATTTTTTGCAACTTTGACGAATAAAGCAAAAAAAAAAGAAAGCAGGTGTATATACCACATTGCAGCAAACCAATAACCAAGTAGTAAATTATATCGCGAAAAGTAACATTTACGAATATGCGCAGGTATTGTTTTCTCTTCTTTTCTTGTTTTTTCTTTATTTATTTATTTATTTTTTTTTTCTTTCTTTCTTTCTTCTTAATTCTCTCGAAAACTAGCAGAGCCGGTAGACACAGTTTTATGCGAACAAAAAAAGTGAAACACAAAATATGATCTGCTAAGTTCTTTGTGTCGTGCATACGAAGCGAATTGATATGATTTTTTTCTTTTTTCTTTTTCTTATTCTTTTTCTTTTACAGTCGAATACGACGAAGGGACGAGTTCTGATTATATTCAAGGTCTACGAATTTTACTCCGGATGAAAATATAATGTGTAATAATATCCTTTCAATTAGTTTTATAAATGCATACGTTCGATGCCCGACACAAAGAACATTATTTACGAAAGGCATGCAAGATGAAGCAAGATAAATTCGTTCAATGAGAAAAGAGATTCTTTTTCCATTTACTTTTTTTTTTGTTTCGTGAAATAGAAAAGAAAAAGAAAAAGAAAAAAAAAAAGAAAAAAAAAGAAGGAAAAAAAAAAAAAGAAAAAAGCCATCGTGGGAGCGTGGAGAGAAGGTTGACAGTACCTTGTTGGACGTCAAGGCCAGCACGCTCCAGCATGTAGGGCAGCCCTACACGGTGGGGAGGGCAGGCAGCACAAAAAGTAAAAGGAAAGAATAAAATGTATCGATAAGAAAAAACTGGTTATCGAATATCGCTCGTATCGGGAAATGGAATAACAAGAACAATAACAAGAACAAGAACAAATGAAATGTTAAATTATTAATTAATAGTTTTGTCGTACTACTTATCTTCTTTTTTCTCTTTTTTTTTGTTTGTTTGTTTGTTTGTTTGTTTTTTTCTGTTTTTTTTTCTTCTTTTTTTTTCTTTTTTTTTTATTTCTTTAACCTCCCTTATACCTATACACTTGCCCTATATCGCCAACAAGGTTTCGTATATATTATATATATATACATATATACATATATATCATATATATATACATATATATTATATATAAAGAGATAGATAAATAGATAGACAAATAGATATATATATATATATATCTATTAATATATATATATATAGAAATGTATATTATATAACGCTGTGAATATTATTGCTACGATCAAAGAAATAGTTTGTGCGTGTGATAGAGCTCACAATAGGAGGAGGCACGAGACCAAGAGAGGATCGTAAAGAGCATCTGCTATGAGGATATTTTCTTTTTTTCTCTCTCTCTCCCTCTCTCTCTCTCTCTCTCTCTCTCTCTCTCTTTCTCTCTCGGGGTGAACGTAATATTTCCAACGAACCGTGACACGTCGTGATTTTCACAATAACTTTTTATCTACGTATATCTCGCATTTGATTGATATTAGACATATAAACTTGTCGAAAAATCTGATATATGATTGATATAAATGTACGTATATAAATATATATATATATTGGAAATCATTGAACATCTCACAGTTCGTAAAATCATCCCGAGAGTTGAATTCCCTTAATCATTATTACCTTCGTTAATATCTATTCCAGATCTATCGATGGTTACTCTGCGCCTTACAGTGCCCTCCTCATATAGCCCTACGGATAGTATTTAAATCTCTAAATTTTTATAAGTCTTTCGTTTTACCTTTCTCGTGACGAAATAGAACAACAATAAAATTAGATTTCTTTTCTTTCTCTATTTCTTCCACTCTTTCTCTCTCTCTCTCCCTCTCTCTCTTTCTATTTATATAGATACAATATAATCGTTAAAAATAAAATGTTTAATATAACAGATAGCGATGAATATATATATATATATATATATATATATATATATATATCGCACCTTAGATCAGGTAAAACGGAAGTTTCTCCTTTCGAAATGAAAGACTTACATTCGTCGACAAATACGTATATTATTTCGTCGTAAAAAAATAAATTATCGAACGATATAAAATTATAAAAATTAGAACGATATGAAATTTTATATATATATATATGTGTGTGTGTATTTATGTATTTATAATTATATATATATATATATAAAAAGAAAAATGGAATGGATATTACCTCCAGCTAAGGATAAGGTCGACTTGTCACTGATTCGTCGTCGTATCGGTCCAGCCATACTCGGCATGCTCCCAGGAGTTCCGGGCATGTTCGGCAACGGTGGCATCCCCGACATGTTTGACATGTTCGGTATCGGTGGCATTGCCGTGCCGCCAGCGGACGGTGGTAATTGTCCACCCGCTGGTGATCTCACTGCCGAGACTAGAGCCGACATTGAAACCGGCGAAACCTGGGACACGCCAAAGTTCGGTGGTGGTTGGCTCATCAGTGCCGTCGACAGATTCAACTTTGGTAAACTCGAGCCCGTCTGAAAGCAATCATTGAATTCCTTGTTCAACGTTTCCCTATCTTTCTTTCTCAAGTTTTTTTTATTTTCATTTTGCTTCTTCAATTTTCCTTTCTCAATTTTCTCTTTCTCTCTTTTCTCCATTCCCATTTTTCTATCTTTTCAATTTTATTAATAATTATATTTGACATGGATAAATTGTAATTACCAATATATCTTACTTCTTCAAAATTTGTATCTTTCTTTATGTCAATTTATTATTCCCCAATTTCTCTCTCTTTCTCTCTCTGTTTCTTTCTTTCTTTTTTTCTTCTTCTTCTTCGTCTTATTAAACTTTTCTATAGGTATTTTCTTTCCCCCTTCCCGCCCCTCAGAAAAACTCTTTCATTGTCGGACTCGAATATGTGAATTTTCTTCTTCTTCTTCTTCTTCTTCTTTTTTTTTTTTCATTGCTTTTATTAGATACGCGAATAAATTGTAATTATGAATATAATTATGTATGTAATATTTTATAATCCTTTGATCATCCTTACTATCTTTCCGATAGCTGACGTGACTTTGATAATCAACGAAGAGGTGGAAATTTTATCGTTAAATTGATTAAGACTCATTCCTCTTTTCTCTTTCTCTACTAACCATTTGATTTGAGAGAGTTATCGCGACGAGTTAATGCGACATCGACATTCTACAGTTACCGCGTACTTGTTAGAGATTTTAATTAAGACGTTAGAAAATCGACGCGTCCCCGTTGAATAATTAATAAAGACTTTATGTATAAATTAGCGTGGAGAGCAAGACGCAAACGAAGGTGGGCGACCGCGAACGATCTCTCGAAATTCGCGTTGTTGTCGCTGTAAGCATGCCATTGCGGTGGCCTTCGTTGAAGAAGGAGCGCTCGTAAAATTCAGAAACGACGCCAAAACCGTCGTGAATATCCGACTTTACGAGCCACGTCTCGTATTCGTCCCGCGAGAAGAGTTTACGCGATAACGAGACCCCTCGTTACTATATAACGCCATTCCTTTTCAAAATATTCTTATATTAAGTACTGATCATTAGCATATCGATATTATTTATTAATATTTTTCTCTTATCTTTATCTTTATCTTTATTTTACTTTATTCTTTTTTTTCTTTTTTTTCTTTTTTTTTGTTTTCATTTCAATGCATACGCAATATAGAAACCTCAAATGATTTATCTTTGTTCTTCTTTTTTTTTTTGCCTGAAATGAATTGATAATTTAAAATAATTAAAAAAAAAAAAAAAAAAAAAAGAAAAAAGAAAAATCCATAGCAATTTAAAATAATAAAGCATAAAAAATAAATCGATCATTGTCGTAACATTAATAACTATATTTTTCATTTGTACGTAATCACGTGTATGGATATCTATATGTGGCGCAAGTACATTATCTATTTAAAAAAAAAAAAAAAAAAAATCAATATACAAAATTATATATGAATTATTATTAAAAGATCGATAAACTTACCGAAGACTCGGAAGATTTTGGTGGTTCGGGGGAAGCCATTTGTTTCGCCATATGCAAATGATGCATCATGGCATTGAGACGATCCCGTTCCTTCTGCAACTGTATCTCCAATTGCGAGACCACTTGCATCTGTACCCTCGCCTGTGCCGTCGATCTGTCGTCCAACGTGTGCTCCGTGTTTAAGTGCCTGTGATTATGATGTATCATCCTTAACAAACTTAGATCGGTTTACTTTATAACTTTCACGTTAAGTAATTCTTCCACGTTGCAACTTGCGTAGACGTTTAATAAAATAATATTTACTTTCAGCTTTCTTAAATGCGATGTTTCATTTTAATAAAACAAAAGTAATATTTATTTTACTTTGAATTTATTGACTTTCAAATGGACGTTAAAAATAATTAATAAATTACTTTTGTATTTATACTATTGCGACAAAATATATGTTATTAAGTAAAATGACAACGATGACAAATAATACCGTTGATTTTTTTCTTCTTTTTTTTTCCTTTTGTGAAAGTTCTCCCCGAGAAAATTAATAAGATTTTTAAACGCTGACAATATTTTTACATGCTATGCGTTGTATCGCATAGAAATACATACGAATGAAATAACCGAGTAAACTTTAAAGTGAAGTGACAACAAAGTGAAGACGATCGATAAAAATCACCGTCCACGTTTTTCTTATCGCCGAAGTGAATTTCTCGACGATAACAATTTTTAAAGAGACAGACAGACAGATAGACAGACAGACAGAGAGAGAGAGAGAGAGAGAGAGAGATAAAAAGAAAAGGATAATTGCCAAATGAGATTTACTATTCCAGATTTTTTTTTCGACGAACGAACGATAGAAACATGGTTGCTGTATCGACAAAAAAAGAAGCGAGGGTGAGAAATAGAAAGAGAAAGAGAAAGAAGAAGAAGAAGAAGAAGAAGAAGAAGAATAAGAAGAATTCGACAGAGGAACAAAGAAAACGCGTGGGAGTCGCGTTGTACGTTAAAAAGGAAGAAAAAAGGTAGAAAGAAAAGGTTGGGTGGTGGTAGTTGGTTTTGAAGTGAGTCCAAGACGAGGAAGAGAGAGAGAAAGAGAGAGAGAGAGAGAGAGGAGGAGGTAGCAATGGGGGGATGAGGGGTGGGTTGGGAGAAGGAGGAAGAGGAAAGGGGGGAAGGGCCGCAAAGGGATTAGACCGAGGGGCATAACGATGCGGTCGAATGTCCTGAATATTAATGAGACAAAGGTAATTAGCGTTTTTCTTTTTTTTCCTTCTCTCTCTCGTTCCTTCTCCTCTTTCTTCTTCTTCTTCATCCTTTTTTAAGTAACGGCTTGTTTGAGGGAGTCTCGACTCGCGCCGACGAGCCGCTACGTGATTACTAAGATTCTCGAGAGTGACTTCGAGCTTCCAACGATGAAGCTGCGGCTTGTCAATGAGAAAGATACGCTGACTTCAGCGACTCTCTCTCTCTCTTTCTCTCTTTCTCTCTTTCTCTCTCTCTCTCTCTTTCTCTCTTTGTCTATCTCTCTTTTCATCGAGCACTCCTCACTTACCAAACTTATGACGAAGCTTTCAAATGTTAAGCTTCACGAAAGTCCAAAGAATATTTTAATGTTCTGTCCCGTAACTAAGTTCTTTCTTTTTTCTTTTTATATATATATATATATAAAATATTATTGATATTTAATAATTTTTCGTTTTTTTTCTTTTTTTCATAGTATTACAGTCTTAAGAAGAATAGAAAAATATTTAATCAATTGCCGACGATTATAAAGCTATTGGTATTGTCAATGAAATAGTTAAATCTTAATCGATTTTAAAGTTGATTTAAAGTACACGTCTTTTATTTTTTTTTCCTTCTTTATTTTTCATAAAAATCAATTAATACAACGAATGGATTATTAATTGTATGCCTGTGTACTTCAAATGTTATAAACGTCGACGAAATTATTGAACGATCGAAATTTATTCGAGCTATTTTCGATAACGAAGATATAACGTAATACTCACTTAAGGAATGCTTGATAGTCTTCGCAAATAACTTCACAGCCCGGCCATTTGCAAACCCCGTGACCGTAAAGGGGATGAGCCTTGTCGTTGCATGAAACGTCGAGTGGTTTTTCGTCCAACGGCGTCGTACCGTTCATTTCCGATCGCCGACCCGAAACTATCGAATTCAGAAGTCCTGGGATAGTCCAGGAGAGAAAATAGTACAATAACGTAAAATAATGATAAGCATGAAAAAAGAAGAAGAAGAAGAAGAAAAAACGAAGAAAAAAAAATGCATACGACTTTGTCAAAACAATCGTCGAATGACGGACAAAATGTTTTGCTTAATTAACGTAAGAAAAAAAGAAAAAGAAAGACTTGTAACGAGAAAGTAAATGAATTAGAAAATAAAAGGGAAGATAAAGAAAAATAAAAGAAGAAAGAAAAGAAATAAAAGAAAATAATTTTTCTACCGTTCAATCCACCAGATTTCGGGACGCTGGAATTTTGATGAGATTCCGAACCATCTGACGTTTCGGACTTCCATGTTGGTAAACCTTCTCCGGGTTGAAGACCTACGGTTTACAAAGTACACATAGTAATACCTGACTTTGAGATATTAACTTAGCACGTATTTTTCATCGTTCTTTTTTCTTTTGCTTTTTTTTTTTTCTTTTTCTTTTCTTTTTTCTTTCTATATGTTCTTAATACGATAACATTTAATAATGATAACGTGAGAATATATTTGAATATTAAGATTTGATAATGAAAAATAAATTTGAAAAGAAAGAAATAGTAAAAGAAGAACATATATATATATATATATATATATATATATATATATATATATTGTACATAATTATAGATGAATAGACAAAGAGAGAAAAAGAATCGATTTGAATGTAGGAAATGGAGGATAAGTTTGTTTCACACGTGAATTTCCGAATGGAAAGTAGCGTGCGACCTCTGACTGCTGCTTATCGAGCCAGTCTTCTACCTTTACCTTTCTCTTTACCCTCTCTTTTTCTCTTTCTATACTTTATACAGTCGCGTAAGAAAGAATAACATAGTCAAACGAGATCGACCGCAACCGAAACACTTGTACGTGGAAAAGTTTAGCCCGGGGTAAAAAGAATGGGAAAGGGGAATGAGAGGAGAAAGAGGGACCGAAGGGTAGGTATGAAAGAGAAAGAGAGAGAGGGGGGAGGGAGGGAGGATACCTATAGCATCCCTATGGAGGGTACTTTTCTGGGATAGCATCGAACGTAAAGGAGAGTTTTCGGTGTTGCAGGTGGTGACGATGGGCTTGTTCTCGTCTTCAAATCAAAAGGGAAACATCCTTAACACGTTACTTTCTTGATCGATAAATAGATTATATATATATATATATATATGTTTTTTTTTTTTTTTTTTTTATTAATTTTCTTTTAATTTCTTTCCTTTTCTTTTTAAAATAAATTCTTAAAATAATCGAGACGAAATAAGGTACGTCTAATTTCAACGATCAAACATGATATTTATTTACATTGATATTCCTACCTGAGGAAGGATTGTGACCTTGAAGACCAAGACCCTGCTGCAATAGATATTGTCTCTGCGTTATCTGAAACTGTTGTACCAATTGTTGTTGCTGAAGTGCCAACTGTTGAAGCGGACCGGACGCCTTCTTCTTATCGGCGGTCTGTAGTAGATGTGTCTGTTGGATCAAATTCAATTGCAATTGTTCTTGCAATTGTTGCATAGCCTGTTCCAATTGTTTCCTACCGAGTTCGGCGAGCTGATGTTGCTGCTAAAAGGAAAGTAGAAAGGGAAGATGATGGATAAATATGCGTATATGTATCGTAAAAAAAAAAAAAAAAAAAAAAAACGAATATACGTTCCCGATGAATTTCGTCTCTACCTTCGAGCAAGTATTAGTTAGTTAGTTAGAACTCTCGAGGATGTATAAGAAGAAGGTTTCAAGGAGCAAAAAAAAAACGGGTAGCGAGTGAGTGGGGGAGGGGTCTTGCATCGTCCGCCATGGCTGATGAATAAATCACGATGTCTCAGATAATTCGCTAGGGAGGCAAGAAGAAGCAAAAGAAGAAGAAGAAGAAGAAGACAGAGGGCAGTTGATGGGTACCTCGAAGACAAACAACGAGACACAACGGCTGATGGCGATGCTTAATTGCTTACCTCGCCCTTGGAACACCTCCCTTCTCTCCTCTCTATCTCCCCTTACTACTACTCCCTACCTTAGTCAACTTCATTCCCGATCTTCCCTACGCCTCGAGGATATTTTAAAACAAACTTCGCGGCAGACGCCCTTTATCGTATTACTATAAATAAGGAGCCACGCGATTAATGGACGTGGACATATTATTTCTATGCCAATGGGGACAGCTTACCATTTCCATAAGTACGAGTAAAAACATTTCATGTAATTCCTCTCGAGACATATACGACAAAAGATTTCTTTTTACTTTTTTTTCTCGCTATCTCTCTCTCTCTCTCTCTCTCTCTCTCGTCATTCTCGTATATAGATATATTTTCGTACATAAGTTCTTCTCTGGTATTGAATTAATGGAGAAGAAGAAAAAGAAAAGAGAAGAAAAAAAAAAAAAAGAAAAAAAAATAAAAGAAAAAAGAAAAAAACAAAGGAAAGAAAAAATGTGATATCGCGTTGTTGGCCGACTCGTGAGTGATATGATAACGTTAGGATGCCGTTATAGGTGGGCTCCTGAGAACGGTTTATACTATGCGTATTGTTATCGCAACGATATGGAAGGGACTGGTTGTTTGCACAGACCGAGTATCAACCCTCTCTCCGTGAAGCGAGCCAACTTCCCCGACGAAGCCGTTCTTCGATCGCATCCAAATTCAGTGAAGGCTTCTAGATCAACGCGCAACCGGTGAAACGTGTTAACTTCCGTCGAGATAGCTTCGTCGAGAATTTCGTCGGCGAATAAATTTGATCGGATTCTAATAAAGCTGAACTTTGCAGGATACGAGTAAACGTTGGTAAGTAAGCCGAGAGAAATAATGCATTATTCCGGAATTGCTTGAATATTGTTTACAACGTTTCGAGAGACAAAAGAAAAATGTACTCTAGATAATTGGATTTTCTAATTAAAAATATAAACGATCGTTGGAAGTAGAGAAAATTGCTTTTGCCAGAGAAAATGTTCGATAACTAATGGCGACTGTTTGTTCTTTCTAAAGGGGACGTACTTTCTCTAGGTATAATATCAACGATAAATCCTTACGCTTTTTAACGAGAAATAGCCAAAGCGTTCTTGATTGGGCGCATGATCGGACGTGGAATCCTGCGAATAAAAAGGATTAATAATATATATTTTTCAATGATATTCTCGAACGTAAACGACGATATATACCTGATGATGTTGTTGCTGTTGCTGCTGAAGATAAAGGGGATGTTGCTGCAGGAAGGACTGCAGTTGCCCAGGACTGAGAATGTGTTGTTGCAACAATTGTTGCATTTGGTGGAGGCCGCTCGCCGGGCTGAGCATCATCTGAGAAGGATTCTGTGACGGTGGAGCACCTGGAGGCCCTCCGGGCGGTGGGCCCTGCGAAGGATTCGGCGGTGATCCCCGTTGAGGGGCCTGTTTACGATAAATACATACAATGATCGATAAATCAAATACAATTGCGTCGGATTAAAAAATTAAAAATAAAATGAGAATAAAAACCTATATATATATATATATATATATATATATATATATATATACATATATGTACCTGTGGACTCTGATGAGGGCTGGGCTGAAGACCAGGTGCACCCGAGCTCGGTTGTTGCGATTGTTGCGCGATGATGGGCTGCTTTTGCTGGGTCATGGGTGCTGCTGTCACTGTGCGTCCAGCAGGACTGAGCTTCCCATTGCTTTGGTACTCGATGGTAAGTTCCTGCTGCTGTTGCTGCTGCTGCTGTTGGTGTTGCTGTTGTTGTTGTTGTTGTTGTTGTAACTGTTGTTGAGATTGTGATTGCTGTTGTTGCTGTTGTTCGACAATGCTACCACCTGTGGCTTCGGAAACGCCACTCCTTCCTATTCCGTCTCGGCTAGCACGTATCGAGTGACGTTCTCTTTCGGCACGGCTCTCGCGATCCCGCGACGACGATACGTTTTCGCGCGACTGTTGTTGCTGCTTCAGCGCTGCAAATAGCGAAGTAGCCTGCAATACGAAAATGGAGATCGGGAGCTCGATCAAAGTCGGTTACGAGCTTCTTCACGAAGGGAAGGTACGAAAAAGGAAATGAAAACTATAAAAATCTATTGGCTTTCGCGAATTCAAAATAATCGTACGATATAAATATATCTCATCATTTTAACAATATTCTATTATTTGTATTAAGACAAATTGATAGATAAAAGGGCAATGATTACCGTCGAGATTCTTGAAGGATAATTGTAAAACGTATGTTACACTTCAAGCTTCGAATATTCATGATATAAATGTCATTTAATACACTTTAATCTGATTTCCATACGTATTTTGGACAATATTGATCTTATCTAATGGCCTTCGTGGTTAAGTGCTTTTGGTACAGCGGTAAATAGACTATCGGCTGAATCGACATTAACTTGAGTATTTCCTTCGTAATCGATAACTAAACTAAAGCTTTCCCCCTCCCCCTCTCCCCATCTCCCTGAAATCTAAGGGAACAATTCTTTTTCCTTTTTACGATATAAATAAAAGAAAACGAAAAAAACATTGAACGGATCTGCTGATTATACGTAGAGAAATTTCAAAGGGGCTTTCGCCCACGAAACTATTGTCTCCTCTTTAACTTCGTAGAAGATGAAATAGTGAGGGATGGGTTGGCATAGGGGGTGTAGGTCAGAGTGGGGATGAGAAAAAGAAAGAAAGAGAAAAACAGTAAAAAAGAGAGGGGGGGAACCACATGACTCTCACGCAAATCCAAGCACGCTACGTCGAGTCCTATGCTAATCTTATTTGTGTACGATTACGTATGTTTATAACATGCAAAGAAATTCCCCGGTCGTGCGTTATCAGTGTTTAGTCAGGAGCGTCAGCGCGTAGCGCTTCTGCACTCCCAAGTCTGCCGAAGTTGAGAAAAAAGAAAATGCTGGACCGAGGAGCTGGTACCAAAGGAAAACAAAAGAAAAGGGCGCTCGGTGTTCTCGATTCTTCGTATAAGTGTATCGGTGTGTCTATATGCGTGTGTGTTAGAGCGTGCAAACGTTCTCTTCGAGTACCAAATGCAAAACGTACAGCTTCGAAGATAATTCCGTAGATAAATTCGAATGGGAAAGTGGACGGAAAACGAAGTAGTTCTCATCTCGAGTGATTTTACTCTTGGCACAGTGCTTTTTGAGGAACATCATCCGAGAAAAGCCGTTGAAACGAAACCACCACAATTGCCCAGCACCACTACTATCAACCATCATCAGTTACTACCATAGGAAACGAGGAAAAGATAGGGCAAATGTGCAAATATGAATTCGCTTATAGCCACGCGTCTATGCCAGCAACAACGTATTCGCACTGAACTTCTCTCATTCAAGTTTGTATTTCTACCGAGATGCTTCCGCGTTTTCGCGGAACTTTCGATAAGAGAGAGAAAAAGAGAGGGAGAGAGAGAGAGAGAGAAAAAGAGAGAAAGAGAGAAATACAGACAGAGAGAGTATTACGAGTGAGCTTTACCTCGAGCTTTCTGACTTTATTCGCGTTATCAAAATAACCCTAATATTTCTCTTACAAGGAAAATCTAGAACGTGGCTGGCCGTGAAAGTAGATTAAGGAGAATGATCTTTAACATGCCGTGAAATAAGAACAAGTTCGAATATAAATATCAAAATTGAAATCATATAGTATGTGAAATTTTGTTTCGCGTTTGATCAAATCAAATGAAATCCTCTTATTCTTCCTTTTCTTCTTCTTCTTCTTCTTTTAGAACGATTAAAGCACTGATCGTGTTCTTTGTCATCCCTTATCATACTTTCCTCTCTTTTTCTCTTTTTAACAGCATCGTCACGAGAAATATAATAATAAGAAGTCGGCCGCATTCGTCTATTTCTTCTTTCAGCGTTAAAATCACAAGACTTTGAGGAGTGCGTTTACACAAGGAAATGAATGAGAAGCAACGATCGGCACGAGTTTTTAATCCACTTTAGGTTCTGCCTAAGTTACTACTGTTACCGCTACTGCTACTGCCACTGTTACTACTGCTACTGCCGTTGGTGGCTAACCCTCCTCGGTATATCGCGATCCTTTAATTCGCTAATTAATACGAACGATGTCGAGACCTCCTCCTAACCCCACCCAACCACCTCATTTTTAACCAACTTTATATTCAACATCTCTGTTTCTTAACGAAACGAAGATTGTTAAATGTCTAAAACGAAGCTTCGAAGGGTTGAACGGGGTCGTCCAAGAACGATGACTACGAAGAAGAAGATGGTTTAAGAAGTGTGGTAGTGGTGGGGGGTTTGATATAAAATGAGGGATGGCTAGGTGGAATGGTAGAAAGGGGAGGGAAGGGGTGGTCAGGCAGTAAGTAGGTAGGTTGTCGATGTGTGTACACGACAAAGGCAAAGGAAAAGAAGAATATATATATATATATATGTATGTATGTATGTATGTATGTATATAAGGGTACGGAAGAATAAAAGTATAAGGGCCGACGTTGAAGGGCCATCGACTACAGATAAGAAGGACTCCTAAGACTCTTTTAAGAAAAGGTTAAATAAAGGTCGGGGTGGTGCGTTTGTTGTTGGCTGTTCAGATTCCTTCTTTCGATGGAATGAGGTAGCAGTGGAGGGGATGGGAGCGGTTGTCCCTCTTGCACACCATTCCCCTCGATCCTCCCTTTCACCTCACCACTGTTTCCTTCTCTCGTCATCGTCTCGACGACATCGAACCACTGCGCTTTCCTTACTACTTTTCCCTGGTATCGGCACTTATTTGAATCTCGAAGAAGGCTTCTTCTTCTTTTTCTTCTTCTTCTTCTTCTACTTCCTCCTTAGGCTCTGTTATCGGGGTGCGGGAGTATGGGAGGAGTGGGAGCGGGCAGCGGGGAGGTGACGGAGAGTACGAACTCGTCTTCATATCTTTTATATATTAGAATTTTCGCAAAGCTACCCAAGAGCGAACCAAGCTCTGTTTACTGTTTGGATTTATTTCTGTCTCTACTCTTTTCACTTTCTTCTTCTTCTTCTTGATACTACTTCTTGATATTTCTATAGATGAACGAGGATCCGTTCGTAAGTGTATATGAATTTCTTCTTTACGTGTTCGTATTTATCTGTCTCTTTATTTCTCTCTCTCTCTCTCTCTCTCTCTCTCTCTCTCTCTCTATTTCTCTCTCTCTATCTATCTATCTATCTATCTATCTATTTCTTTCTCTCTCTCTCTCTCTCTCTTTTTATCTCTATCTGTCTCTCTAGGGATAACTTTTTCTTTCTCGACAGAGGAAAGCAATTGTTTCTTCGTTATTATCAGATGAATAATAATCCTCGAAGGAAGACTCCAGGGATCGAGAGTAAGTTAATGCTTGCCTCAATATTTTCCAAGGGCCAGAGTATATGCGAAAGAGAATGTATGCTTGTCGTTTGATGTAATCCACAATGCTTGTTTGTTACGTGACTTCGATGAGTCGTCGATGTGAAAGGAAACGCGAGTTTGTATGTTCGTAACAATGTATGTATGTATGTATGTATGTATGTATGTATATATGTATGTATGTATGTATGTATGTATGTATGTATGTATGTATCTATGTATATACCACTTAATCGTGCCAACGAGAAACGTTATCGTTTCAAAGACGATGATTCGAACGATATCGTTGTAGAGAAAAAAAAAAATATATATATATATATAGAAATATATTTAGAGAAATATATTTACAGAATATTTGATGAAAATATCATCAAATTGTGTACGCACATATGAATGTACGTACGTAAATAAAAGAAAAAAAAATAAACAAATAAATAAATAAATAAATAAAAAAAGGAAAGAAAGAAATCGTCCAATTTAATCAATTTGAAAAATTTACTGTTGTTATTTACATTGATATGTATTGATATGAATTCATGCATGCATGCACGCATATACATACATATATATATATATATATATATATATATATATATATATATATGTTATGTATATGCGTTAAGTAAATTAATCGCTTCGATTCGTTAAAACGAATCGAAAAGCAATTTTGTATTTAGCATTGGCCGACGATCGATAACAAATATCTCGTGATTTCGTTTGAAATGTTTTTTCTTTCTCTCTTTTTTTTTTTTTTTATCTTTTTTTCTTTCTTTTTTTTCTCTGTTTATTTTTCTTCTTCCCTTTTTTCCTTTTTTTTTCTTTTTTTCTTTTTTCTTTTTTTTTTTCTTTCTTTTAATCGGAACGATCCCTCCTCCTCTCTTTCTCCTTCCACGCGGTCTCCACGATGTTCCGCCTGGTATAGAGTGGAATATGGATATCGTTAGATTTTAAACGCGTTGCGAGTATACAGATTGGGAACGTTTACTCAGCACACTTTTTATACTCCGTGTCAACATCGTTACCAATCAAAGCGGCCATTTCGGATTTCGTTCGATATTTACGCGCGGGATCTCCCTTCGTTCCCTTATTCAAATTTTAACGCGGAATAATATCGTTAAAATAAACTCTTCGATATATAAGTAAAAGAAAAAGAAGAAGACGAAGAAGAAGAAGAAGAAGAAGAAAGGGAAAAAAAAGAAGAAATAAAAGAAAAGAAATTGAAAAATTCTTTCAATATGAATTGGGATTAAATTAAAAACTTGTCGAAATGAAAAGTTGATGTGCCTGATTATTACGAAGAAAAGAGAAAAAATTTATCGTTTCAAATATCGATGGTAGTCGATACCATTCTCTCTCTCTCTCTCTCTCTCTATATATATATATATATATATGATTTTTTTCTTGGCAGCAAACGACTCGAAGAAACGCGAGACGGAACGGAAAACAAGGATTTTGGCAAGTCGAGTTTTCCGTCTGTCTCGTTTCGTATTCACGCTCTCGCGAGCCAATCAGAGACGCCTCTAGTTCGCGGCAGCCTCTTGTTGACGTTTGTCATAATATTTTAATACTAAATCGCACGAAGGGCTGCCATGCGCTCGCATAATCAGCTTTTATTCCTCTGTTTGAAAAGACAAAGAGAGAGAGACAGA